TCTTTCTGCCCTTGATGAGCAGATGAAGTCCTTATCAAATGGCGATGCTCATTCAGCAAAATGACGACAGAATGTCTGTGTCCTGTAAACTCTGGAACATGGTGACATTCTATTTTGTCCCCATCACGGTAGAATGAAAGCTTATGAGGTTGTCCCTTCTCTAGTCTGTGGCAATGTCCTTAACCGCTAGCCAGCATGTCATAGTCTTTTTCATCTAGAAACTTAGCTGTGAAACATGGCGAGCTTGAGATAATTCTTTGCAACAGCGGACATTCCATTTCAAAGTCCAATCAGCTCAATGCTCCACAGAAACAGTGATGAAACCCTTCAGCTGCAGAAACTCTGGACCTTTTGAAAATATGCGGATATTGGAATGAACTTTCATGAAACCTTGTGATGACAAATGATTTTTGAACTGATATGTTTCTGCCAAAAGCAATGATTACTACAAACTACCCTATTTTTACTGGCCACATTCTATTCTAAGTTGAATTCAGCTTTAGTTTTGAAAAAAGAAATGATCTCACTTCTGGGCTCACCTTTAACGTAAGACCATAAGAATCAGAGGAGTAGTTAGGGCTCTTTGTCCAGCTCAGCAACCTAAGACATGGGCTCTAGGAGATGTGTTCCTGGGCCATACAGTGCTTGATTACATGGGCATCCCTCCAAAGTGGAACTTTGCAAACTATTTCTATGATTAGATATTTCAGACATTCCCACCTGGTAATAAGTTGTGAGCTGCTGACATTAAAGATGACATTTGCTAAAAGCTAAACAATTGTTTCTGATCATTCATTAATGTGGTTTTATGGTTTTTCATACAAAACGTTTTAAAATAGATATTTTATTGATTTCAGAGAGGAAGAGGAAGGGAGAGAGAGAAGGAGAAACATCAATGATGAGAACCATCCATCATCTGCTGGAGACATGTCCCCTACTGGGGATCAAGTCACCACCTGGGGATGTGCCCTAACAGGAATCAAGTCATGACCTCCTTGTTCATAGATCGAGGCTCAACCACTGAGCCATGCTGGCCTGTTCTTTTATTCCAACCGGGTAGCATTCGAATAATCATAATTAGTTAGTACATGCTTTTGAAAAACACTTCTCTAAATGCATTACAGAAGAACTAAGAATATTCTCAAGTATTCTTAGGACACTCATGTTATTCCTTTTTAAAATATCCTTTACACTCAGGATAAAATCCAGCCTCCTCAAATCTAACTGGTGTGATGAGATAGCTAGAAGCCATTTGATGAGTTATAATTGCCAACAGGAAGTGAATTGATGACATAATAAAAATGAGTGTGGATACCATCCTCTCTTTTTAACTCTGGGATAGAATTAGTTTGGACCTTTATTTCAGAACTAAAGAATAAATCTGTCCAAAGAGGAGTTTGCATTCAATTAAGATCCCAGTGAATCTGGGCAACACAGAATATCTACATTAAAAATATAAAACCAGCCGAAACCGGTTTGGCTCAGTGGTAGAGTGTTGGTCTGCGGACTGAAAGGTCCCAGGTTCGATTCCGGTCAAAGGCATGTACATTGGTTGCGGGCACATCCCCGGTAGGGGGTGTGCAAGAGGCAGCTGGTCGATGTTTCTCTCTCATTGATGTTTCTCTCTCATTGACGTTTCTAGCTCTTTATCTCTCTCCTTTCCTCTCTGTAAAAAATCAATAAAATATATTTAAAAAATATATAAAACCAAGCAAATAAACAACTTATAAAAAATAAAAATGGCTTTGATTTTAAGTTATCACAGCAATGCAGGCTTGTTGAAAAAAAAAAAAGAACAACTGAAAAATGTGTAACTGAGAAACGCACGGCTGGCTCCCTTTCTGGTCATAAAACAAACCAATTTACATACGTACTTTCCCTCTGACTGTTACTTAAAAGGTGTTATATTCCCTGTCCTTATTTTTAAAAATGAAATGAGCACAACTTTTCATATTGTTCTCAAACACAAAAAGAAATATACAAGATAGTCCCCCCCCCCCTGAATTTAGTTCCTCAGATTGTTTTTTCTTGAGAGAGTGTGAATTTAAAAAAATTTTTAGAAAGGAAATTTATTAAGGAGTGGTCCAAGAATTGGAAATGACATTATTGTTCATCAGTAGTAGAATGGATAAACACACTGTAGAGAGTTTTACAATGAACTACCATACTTTGAAACCACCCAGAAATTAACATAAAATGAAAGAACTAAATCTATATGTATCGACATGGATCAACCTAGAACAATGTTAACTGTAAAAAATGTTGCAAGAGTTTAGGAACAGTGGGATACTATTTAAGCACACACACACACACACACACACACACACACACACACACAAGCACAAGCACAAGATAATACTATATTGCATCTGGATATGAACATATGTAATAAAAGTAAAAAATATGAAAAGAACAATAAACAACAACTACAAGACAGTGTTAAGTTGGGGGACAAAAGGGAAAGGAGGGTGAAGAGTTGGAACTTTAGGTGAAGCATAAAAAAAACAACTCTGAAGCACAATGGCAAAAGAATAACATCTGTTAATCCTAGTGGTGCTTTATGGATACAAGTGTATTACTTTCTATATATTATAGTTAAAGTGGATAATGATGATGATGGCAATGAACAAAGGGAACAGAGACCCTTTTTTGGTGTTGACTGTTAGGAGAGCACTGATTCATCCTTATGTTTCTTCCTATTAAAAGATAACTTTCTGGACTGAACATAAACTGTGCACCTATAGATGAGGTCAATGGGGGGTATGGAAAGGGCAGAGGGTGGGGTGGGAACCTGTGGAGGGGAGCAATGGAGAGGAAAAAAATGAGAAACATTTGTAATATTATGAACAATAAAGATTTATTTAAAATTAAAATAAATAAATAAAAAGATAACTCTGGATACAATATACAATATGTCTATTATATTATAATATGTATATTATACTGTTTAGATACCTTCTTTTTTCCTAGTTTGAGTCATTTTAATATTTATAAATAAAAAAGTGAGTGATTATTTTTCCTATTGTTTTTATTTAGCCACTTTTAGCACATACACAGGTCTAACAGCCAAAATGCACGGAGGAAATGAGCTCCTGCCCAGTTCCCCACAGTCCCACCCTGTGGTTGACACTGCTGTGGGCTCCCTCGTCCTCACCAGCACACACGGGCATGCACCCTGGCTGCTTTACCCAAAGCTGTCCTGCGTTTGCTCAGTTTCACATCATGTGCATGCCCCTCCCCAACATCTCCATTCAAATAAAAACCAAACTGTTGTTAATGGTTGGGGTAAGATTCTCCTAATGGCAATAGTTTCTACCCTGTAAAGAGAGACTGAGGGGGCGGGGTGTGTTCTGAAAACTGTGCATTTAAAAAAAAAAAAAAAAAAAAAAAAATATATATATATATATATATATATATATATATATATATATACACACACACACACACATTTTTAAAAAATTAATTTCAGAGAGGAAAGGAGGGAGAGAAACAATGATGAATCATTGATCGGCTGCCTCCTGCAGGCCCCACACTGGGGACTGAGCCTGCAACCTGGCATGTGCCCTGACTGGGAATCAAACCGTGACCTTATGGTTCACAGGTCAACACTCAACTACTGAGCACCACCAGCCGGCAGGCTGTGCATTTTTTAAGCCACAAGGAAGGAGAAGTCAAAAGTAGCTCTGGCCTTAAACCTGGCTCTCTCTGGGAACATCTCTGCCAGACTCCATGCTCATGTAGTTCCCTGTCATTCTCTCCTAGCTCCTCCCCTGTCTTTTTGGTCACCTTTTGTGGGCAATTCCTCCTCAGAACTGGGGCAGTGGCAGCATTGGCGTGGCTGCCAGGACCCCAGCCACAACGGTGTCTTCTCTCCTGAGATAATTACCTCTTCTAATGTACATTTAGGCCTTCATTTCTAAAAGAAAAGTTTTACTTCTAGCACATATACCATTTAAAGCACTTATACAAGAGATGGGGTCTTAAAAATTGCCTGTTTGTTTTTTAGCTGATTAGGTTCAGTGTATCCACTATCGAGCGTCGGCCTTTTCTGTCCAGTTGTAACTAAGCACAATGAATGAAAACGGTATTATTTGAGGACCTGCTGGACTATTGTAGGCCTTTCCTAAAAGTAAAACGTACTAATTGGAACTTTTGAAAAGAGAGGCATACCTGTAATAATCCTGGGTTAGGTCATCTGAATTGTGATTGTATTACTATCTTCAGTGTTATGAGATTGGTGCACTAGCCATCGATCCAGTTTTCTTTCTATAATTCACTGGCTCCAATGATGCAAACACACTTCTTTCAAGCGTTCTTGAGCAGCCCTAGATACTCAGCAGTGCTTTCTTTCTGGTTGGGAGACATTACCTTTCTGAGTAGGTCCAGGGTTCAGAACGCTGACCTGCGGGCTTTGTCTCTAGTGCTTTCACGCCCCTTTACCGTCTGCAAAGAAGCCTGTCACCAGCTTCTCTATGTCAAGTCATCCCTTTCCTCCCAATCCCCTCCCAAATGCCAGGAGCTGCAAGCACGCCAGGCACCATCCTTTTTCTGGTTTTACTTCTGCTCTTTTACGACTTTGAGGGAACAAAACCCTCTTCCCTGAGATACTGCTGAACCAGCTCGCATGCATTCCCTCCGTCCGCAAGACTAAAAAGGCAGCGGCTGGGGACCACCATCGCTGCCCTTAGCCACGGGCGAGGGGCAAAGCCCCTTGGGAAGTGACCTTTCACCTCCCCTCTCGCCTCCACTCACCAATATTGACGCTAGCCAATGAAGTGATGAGGAGAGCTGGTAGGCGGGGCTTAGCGTTACGCTCTTCACGCTGATTGGACCTCCCCGGTGTGAGGGGCGGACCGCGTGAGCCGGCTAGCCGCCTTCCCCTCGGTGGGCGGGGAGAGACGTGAGGACTGCGCTTGCGCGCCGGGAGGTGGCAGAGTGGCCGGGGCGGATACGCATGCGTGGTGGGCGGAGCTCGGCTCTCCTTTTACCAATATTCCCAGCCCAGCTCGCTCCATCCCTGCCTCGCCGGGGCTGGTGCTTTCGCGCTGCTGCGTTGGGGAGAGTGGCCGCTCGGAGTCCGGGTCGCCATGGCTGGTTACGAGTACGTGAGCGCGGAGCAGCTGGCTGGCTTTGACAAGTACAAGGTAGCGCGGCGGGCCCCGCGGGCACCCCTGTGCCTCCCGGTCCCGGCCTCTCCCGGGCGGCGGAGGACCGGCGCGGTCCGTGTCACCTTGTGCCGCGTGGCCCAGGGCGGGCTGGCCAGCGTTTCTCCGGGACGGGGGGCGGGGGGCGGGGGGGTTCCGTGGAGTCCTGGGGCCTTGGGTTCGGCGTGCGAGGGGCCACCCTAGGCTCGCCGCCCCGACTCCGGCACCCTCCCTGATCACCCTCGCCTTCGGGGACCGCTCGGCGAGGGGAGAACCAGAGGATCGATCCCCTTCGCTTCGTTACTTCATCATCATTATTTCCTAGCGCCTCCCCCCGAGAAGGGATGGGATCTAAGGTTCTTGATTGTCTTCATTTTAATGACGTTTCTCCCCGCCTTTGCTGGGATACAACTTCAGAGATGGAGATGATCCTTGGGCAGATAGGCCCGGGGAGGGAAGAAGGGAGGGAGGGAGGGAGGGAGGGAGGGACGGATGGCTGAGGCCCGGCTGCAGAGGCTGGTGGCGCCTGGGCTGCAGAGGGAGAAAAGGCACCCCGGAAGGAACTGGGTGGAAAGAGTAACCTGTACACCTGAAACCGAACCTGGTACCCAGATCCACGGCAATCCATTGATTTGGCTTTGGGCCAAATGATGTGCCTGCGGTGCAGAATGATTGTAAGAATTTGAAAAGCTCCTGGCACCTAGGGGGCCTCGAGTAGATGCTTAGTTTCCCCTCCACATCTGGTTCATGGTCATTGCTCCTTTCCCAGCGAATAGCTCCTCTGTCCGTCACGATGTCCAGGCGTGAAATCTGGCAATAACCTTTCATCCCGGTTCCTCTACCCGACCCACTAGCCGGTGAATCACCAGATATTCTTTCATTTTTTTTTTTTTTTAGCCTAACCTGGAAGACTAGTTTCATTACCACCCTCCCCACAAACACTTTATGTGTGTGTTTGTTTGTTTAGTAGTAATGTTTTTATTTTAGAATATTTTACTATAGATTTTTTCAGAAAAATTGTGAAGATAGTACAGAGTTTCTGTATATTCTACACCCAGTTTTTCTTATTACTAACATTTTACGTTGTTGGTATGGTACATTTGTCACAATTAATAAACCAATATTTATACATTATTAACTGAAGCCCACACTTTATTCAGATTGCCTTAGCTTTTTAACCTAATGCCCTTTGTGTGTGTGTGTGTGTGTGTGTGTGTGTGTGTCCCAGGATCTCATCCAGGACACCACATTACATTTAAGCATCATGCCTCCTCAGGCTCCTCTTGGCCATACACAATTTCTCAGACTTTTTGTTTTTCACAACCTTGCTAGTTTTTGAGAAGCTCTGGTCAGGTGTTTTGTAGAATCTCCCTCAGTTGGGACTTGCCTGATGTTTTTCTCATGATTAGATGAAGGTTATGAGTTTTTGGGAGGATGGCTCATTGTATCTTATGAAGAGGATATGCTGTTAGCCTCGGCTGGATAGTTCATTTAGGGTGTTGTCCAGATATGTCAAGGTTGTGGGTTCAATCCCCGGTCAGGGCACAAACTATAAGAATCAACTACTGAATGCATAAATAAGTGGAACAACAAGTCCATGCCTGCCTCTCTCTCTCTCTCTCTCTCTCTCTCTCTCTCTCTCTTCCCTTCTCCCTCCCTCCTCTTTTCTCCCTCCCCTCCCTTCCCCTCTTCTTCCTTCTCCTCCCCCTCTCTTCCAACCCCCTCCCTCACTTCCTCCTTCCCTCTCTCTAAAATAAATAAGTTTAAAAAGTGCTACCAACATGCTTCCAACATGACTTATCCCCGTTGATACTGACGCTGATCACCTGGCTTAGGCAGTGTTTGTTAGGTTTCTCCTCCTAAAGTGACGTCTTTGGAAGGGCGTTTCTGTGCACAGCCCACACTCTCCAGCAATGGAGAGTTATGTTCTACCCCTTGAGGGCAGAGAAAACTATTTGGAATTGTGCATGGAGGATTTGTCTTCCCTATGCATATTTATTTATTCAATCATATCAGTGGGAGTTCATGGGTATTTAATTTATACTTTGGGTTATAATCCAATACTACTTTATTTTGTTGCCCACCTATATTCACTTTATCCTCCCAATTCTTATTCTGTTTCATAGTGTTTTTTTTTTTTTTTTTTTTTTTTAAAGGCATTTAGTCACAGCATTTCTTTGCTTAAAACCCTTCTCTGACTTCCCATTGCTTTTGGAATGAAGTCCAAAAATCCATAACATGAGCTCCATGGCTTTGAGTAGTGTATGTCCAACTTCACATCATGCCACTCATGGCCCCTCCCAGCCTTAGTAGAGCTCCCTGCCCCTCTTGCCCCCCCACACACACCTTTTCCCCAGGTCTTTAATGCTGTTATGTCTGCCAGGAATGTAGCTTCCTGCCCCATGTATGCTCATCTTCATATCTTAAATGTTAGTTCTTCAGAGAAGCATTCCCTAATTATTGCTTTCCCCTTAACTGTGCTCGGTACCCTCTGCTTCTGTAGGGAATTAGCTCTTTGGTGTATCTCCCCGGTAGAATGTAATGCCCAAGTAGGTAGACTTGTCTTAGGGACCACCGTGACCTGGGCACCGTGCCACAGTGCTTACTAGGCCCCCAGTAAGCCTTTGTGGAATGAATGAATAATTGAAAAAGTCACAGTGGATTGTGTCTAACTGGAATTGGGAATACTGTCAGGGATCTCAGAAGGTCACATGGTATGTTCCTCGGTCTTCAAGCAATTTAGTGCCATTGCCATTTGAACTTCGGTGCTCCTGACTTGTCTTACAATTTTAAGTAAAAAGAAGTTCCAGAGCCGTGGTAACCCAGGCCAGGGCTTTCCAGTTTTCATTAATGGGTGTTATTAACCCGGTAACCTCCTGTTTCCTATAAGCTGTACTCCCTTTCTGTTATCTGTTTTTCATTGTAAATATTGACCTATGAAACTTTCTTCTTTACTAGGATCTATCTTTCTCGGTCAGTGCCCATAGGAGAGCTGTCTCACTTGCAGCAATGTCTGTACAGGGACTCTCTTTTCTTATAAGCAGTCTTCTCTAGATTGATGTTTTCCACTAAGTAGGGTCCTCATTTACAGAAAAATTTAGTGTGCTCCTCTGATCCTATTTCTCCCCTTCCCTTATCTGAGTCACTTCCGGAGTCTGACAGCAGATTTCCTGTCATCCTGGAAAACAAAGGTCAATTAAGCAAGCATCCAATGTTTACTAAAATGTAGTTTGCTACCCACTGAGCCAAACTGGCTAGGACAGTACTATGTTTATTTTAAAAAGTATGAATCCAAGGGTGTCCGAAGGAGACATGTGTGGTCATTACTGGAATGTGAATCACACCTAGAGATCTTTAATTCCTGAAGATCACACGTTCCCATTGTGTGGTCTTTGATAGTAAGTCATTTATGAGTGCTTGCTGAACGAAAACAGCTTTACCCATAAATGGGTCAAGACTTAAAATACTCAAAAGAGATTTTATTACCTGATGTGACCCTGTATATCAGAGCAAAGAGATGTAGAGAAAAATGGATACTATAAAAGCAGCTGGTGGAAAAATTACTTTTAAGCTAGTTTAATGTATCTTCCCTGGAGGTACATCTGAGAGCTGCAGCTGGAAACCTGGCAGTTACTCAGAATAACTGCTGAGAGGTGTGCACACGCTGAGCGGTCATTGGGTTTCTGGAATCGGGGCCTGGAAGACAATTCATTTTCAGGACAGAAGAAAGCATGGATGGGCTCCGTGTCAGATACTCTCTTAACCCTGTGTTCTCTGCTGTGTTACCACAGATTTGTTAAGCAGTTAAATAATTAGCGTCTGCCTTCTCTGTTAGGATATGCGCTCTGGGAGGGCAGGGTCTCCTTCAACATGACCAAGGTCTAGCACATGTACAGACTGGGCTCTCCACTTATTTATTGAAGGAATGGGAGTGTAAAAGAATTGGAGCCATTGCGGAAGGCGGTAAAAGGGAGCTGTGCATCTCCTGGATGTCGGAAGGAGGCTTTTGTATTTTGAATGTGTAAATGTCGGTGTTCCTGGGGAGACGAGGAAAGATTGAAGGAAAGATTTCAGTCCGAAGACAAAGTGCAGCAAAGCAAGCCAGAATTTATTGGCTGCCGCAAAAAATATGCTTAGGACAGTGAAACAAGGAAGGACATAACAGGTGGGGAACCTTTTTTTCTGCCAAGGGCCATTTGGATAATTATAACATCATTCATTGGCCCTACAACATTATCAACCTAAAAACTAGCCTGCTGTATTTGGTCGAACATGTAATTAACTCACCCCCAATGCCTCGGCAGGGCCAGACCCAATGATTTCTGGAGCTTATGTGGCCCGAGGGCCCTGGGATCTGATGTTCCCCACCCTGGGGAAAAGTAACAGAGCCCCCTCCAGGGTCCTTCATCTTGAGCTTATTTCTCTCTTTCGCTGGTGGAAGTCTTAAGGGAGGTGTTAGGGGAAGTCTCAATAGAATATTCATCAGCTTTCCAAGTGTGTGCTTTCAGGGTCATAGTCTCCACTGATTGGTCCTCACAGGCCAGAGAGTCATCAGTTAATACACCTGGTTCATAGGCAGCCATTGTGCAACTTGTCTGGTTTTGCTGCTTTTCTGGGCCTGGAGCTGAAAAACAACTGAAGCCGAGTATATTCTCCTTCTTTATGGAGGAGAAGTCAGGGGGTCTAGACCGCATGACCAGGGAGTGATAGACTAGGGCAGTGATCGGCAAACTCATTAGTCAACAGAGCTGCATGTGGCTCAAGTGCCGAAATTTGCCAACCACTGCCCTAGGGGCAGAAAGGTTACCCTGGGGTGGGAGGTTCTGGTTTTCCCCATTTGCCCCTTGCTAGGCACCCAGGGCTTTCTGCCCTGGGGAGTTTCTGTGCCTTGCCAATGGTCCTTGGCTCTGCTGTTGCCCAACTGCCTATAACCCATCATTGTTCTCTGTTACTTACAAATGCTCCTACAGACAATTATGTTGAGGGGTTTTACCCTCATT